CGCTGGTGTTTGGCACAAGATGTAAAGTTTTTATCAATTACTTGCTCTGATTCTAACGGAGGAGTTTAAAAGTTGTGTATCTGAACAGATTGCGACAAATATTAATGAACAAAAAGTTAAGTTTCTAAGGCAGCTGTACTTTCAGATGAGTACGGTGTTTGAGACGTGGACTCAAGTGGAACAGTGCAACGCACCTGTTCTATGCTGTGCAACATCTGGCATGGAGGTGGAACATGGTCCGGAAAATGGAGCTGGTAAGATCAAGCAAGTTTGTGCTTAGTGCAACAAAAAAAAACCTGGCCATACTCTGGCCAACTGCTTAATAGAAAAGGTGCATCCTCTAATGTGGTCACGTTGGTTAAGATGCCACCAGTGTCCGTCATCTGTAAGGTGAGGAAAAACAGACGTAGAGATTTACTCACCGTTTCTTATGAAAGGTGCTACATCTCTGTAGCAGGTGGAGTGACACTGCTGGTTACTGTTCTGCGAGACACAGCAGCTTCCAGATCTATTATTTTAAGCAGCGTCTTGCCTTTGTGTGGTGAAACTTCTTTGAATTCCAATGAATTGGCTCAAGGCTTTCAAAGGGAATGATTTGGCCGGCGGAAAAATCCTGGTTAATCTGGAGGTTACAGAAGTCCCAGTGATTTGCTCGGATGAGCTTCAGAAAATATGCCCCGGAGTGTTTCCTGTGTGCGCAATTACACGCGCCATGGCACGGAACAACGCCAAGTCAGAGACCGTCGGTGTGTTTGATCTGGAGGACAGTTTCATGTCGGGTTTTGTTGTAAATCCTGCAACTTGTTCAAAGCGAGTAAAAACACCAGTTTCTACTTCAGTTGTGAGGGAATCTTCAAAGTATCACTTTTCAAAAGGGGACAAAACTCCAGATAGATCAATGACGCCAAGACAACATTATTGAAGAACAAAGTAAATGGTAAATGGACTGCACTTGTGTATCACTTTTCTATCTTATCAAGATACTCAAAACGTTTGACACTACAATCTGTGCCCTCATATACCCATTCATACGCCACGCTACTATTACTACACAAAGAATAATCAGTGCTTTATCACATTCATACACCAATGGGACACACATCGGCGACGATGAGGGGTTCAGTGTCTTGCCCAGGGACACTTGGGCTTTCCACCCTATCCGATGCTGGTGGAATCAAACCCGCAACTCTTGCATTGGAGGACGACTGTTCTAACCACTCAGCCACAGCTGCCCAAAGTCATGATTCTTCTCTTGATTCTCTTTTCTATTGGGTTTCTATCTGTCAGGATAAGTGTTTTTCCTCCATGTGGTCAGCTCCAGCTCCTGCCATTCCCACATGTTCGTCATTGTCTTTTTCCCAGGTGTTTGCCATTATTTGTCCTAAGTGTCTGTATAAAGTCAGCGTCTCTGTGGCCCTCCTTGTCGGCGCATTGTCCCATAAGGCGTCTTGTTCTGTCTCCCTTCGTGCCTCCATGTTTCTTCCAGTTTTGTAACTATTGCTGCCATGTCAGCCCTTTGTTTTCATTAAACATGTTTGTCTTTATATATTATCCTTCAAGTTCCCATAGCCTGCCTGCACTTTGGGTTCGACTAACCACCAGAAACTAATATTATCGAGTGAGGGAAAAGAAAACGTACCTGACAGATATTTTTGTAGAGACGGCATCTTGATGCATCCATGGACTCCACCGCATGCATCTGTAGATGATGACTGGCGAGCGGTTGAGCAGAATGTGGTGCCACAGAAATTCCATCCTACAGTATTGAGCTTAGCTCATGACAATCCTATGGCTGGTCATTTAGGAGCGAATAATACATATGACCGCATTTTGAGGCAATTTTTCTGGCCAGGATTAAAAAGTGATGTGAATAATTATTGTAAAATTTGCAGTGTGTGCCAAATTACAGGTCAGAAAATACCACCTTGGCCGTTACATCCTATTCTGGCGGTGGTTGGACCTTTCCACCATGTGCTGGTAGATTTTGTCAGCCCTTTTCCGTGCACTAAATCTGGTCACAGGTTTTTCTTAATATTGTGCATCTAGGTCTTCTGAGGTGATTCCCCTGTGCTAAATAACTGCACAGACAGTAGTGAAGGCCTTGGCAACATTTTTTTCTTTGTTCGGCTTGTCAAGAGTGATCCAGACTGACCAGGGGTCTACCTTTATGCCACACATATTTAAGCAGGTTTTAAAACAGCTTAATATCATGCACTGCTGGTCCAGTGCGTATCACCCTGAGAGCCAAGGTGCACTGGAGCCGTTTCATCAGACTCTAAAGAGCATGCTCCGAGCATACCGCCTTGAGTCTGACAGGGACTGGAATGAGGGGGTTCATCTTTTGCTTTATGCAGCGTCTGAGGTGGTACAGGAGTCGCTTGGCTTTAGCCTGGCTGATCTTGTTTTTGCCCATTCTGTTTGTGGACCATTAAAACTCTTAAGAGAAACATGGGTGAGCAGTGAATCACAGAGCCTCTTTGATTATATCAGCACATTCCATTTCCGACTTCATCGGGCATGTGAAGTGACCAAAGAAAGCCTTGACAGCATGTTAAAATGAAAAGCTGGTTTAACAGGAAAGCCAGTAACAGGCAATTTCATCTGGGAGATAAAATATATATATATATATATATATTTTTTTTTTTGGTAGTTGTTATTTGCCCGTTGTACAGTAGGTTCTAGTTTGCAGGCGCGTTATATCAGATCATAAAGTTGAACGTAAAATAAGTCATACGAACTACTGTATATCATTGCCACTCCTGACTGTTTGCGCTGCAGCCACCTGTGCCACAACATGCTGAAGGAGTTCCACGGATGCTGCTTTAACTTTGTCCCCCACTGAGTCAGGCACACACTCCCCCAGGCTGTGGTCTCCTGTTGAGGTGAGTTCTTCAGGAGAGCTGTCCAGCGCTGAACCTGACATTGACGGTCTGTCTGAGGCCATTGTGCACGGTCAACTTAAAGACTCAGAAATGCTGGTTGAACTTGACGCTTGCTGCATTTGTCTGATAGTCAGTGAAATGATGTGGTGGGTCTTGTTAATTCTTATACTGTCTGTTTTCTTAGGTGTCTTCCCAAACCCAAACTTTCACAACACGACATAGATGTCTGTGCTTCCTCCCACATTAAGCAATATCTATACTGGGTTAATCCAGATAAAAGAAGACATCTACAGAATCAAGTCGACAACATGTTGCTACATGGTACTGTATTAACGTACTAAACCACGTTGTAGTGCGTGGAGTTCACCGTTCTGTTGTCTGTCGGGTCTGATGGGTCTGACCATTTCTGTACAGATTTTAAAAAAGTTAGCAGCATTACAAATCCAGATTGCCACCTACTTCATCGGATGGAGGATTGTGTGGATTGGGTTGGTTCTACAGCTTTTGTAACAAACTGGATCTGTTGAAAGGTTACTGGCAGGTCCCACTGACAGTTACACCTCTGGCATTGCCCTCCACCCGGATCACTGTCTCTGGAGTTCCTCAGTTTGTTCAGCGTTGCCACCAGGCCTTCAGTACGTGCAGTGACCCCTCGGTGCGGACTGAACTCGGCAAAAAGGATTTTTCTTACTCTGCACCTGGAACCTGGAACCCCTTGCAACAAGATCTGAAGCTGTCCACCTTGATTTCTTTAAGGGATTTTAAACATTTGATAAGGTCATTGGAAAAATCTAAGCAAATATGTTCTTGTTTTTAGTATTTTCCTTGGTCCACTGTCCAGGAAAATGGGGAATGTGGTGAAGAGATGAAAAAGCAAGTCCAGAATACTTGGAGTGGATGGAGAAAAGTTTCAGGAGTGATTTGTGACAAAAGTGGCAGCAAAGTTCAAAGGATGCTCAAAGTTCAACTATCTTGTTTACAAGACAGTTGTGAGACCAGCTCTGTTGGTCTGGAGACAGAGACATGGACAAAAAGACATGAGACAGAACAGGAAGTTGCAGAAATGAAGATGTTGAGGTTCTCCTTAGGAGAGACAAGGATGTCTCTCTCTATAGAGAACTAATCCAGAACTATAGTTCTGGATTAATGGCTGGTTCCATGGTTCTGATTCATCACATCTTGGATCTCCTCGGGTGCGTTTAGATAAGGAGGTTCCTCTAAGATTAGGAATGAGATCGTCAGAGGTTCAGCACAGGTTGAACAACTGGGAGATAAAGTTAGAGAGACCAGACTGAGGTGGTTTGGACATGTCCAGAGGAGGGACAGTGGGTATACTGGTAGAAGGATGTTAGAAATGCATCTGCCAGGAAAAAGACAATGAGAAGATATGGATGCAGTTAGAGAGGACATGGAGGTAGTTGGAGTGAGGACAGAGTGAGATGGAGGAGGACTCTGTGCAGACACCTGAAAAGGGAATAGCTGAAAGTAAAAATCTGATTTACGATTTATTGTTGATAAAAATTAATAATAAAAAAAAAACAATAAAAATCTAGAATTCCATTTTATTTGTGTATTATTGTATTATTAAATTTAATATTAAACATTTATACATTTATTTATACTCTCTTGTAAACGAGTCCTCGAGGCTCATTGGGATTAACCTGTCTAAATAAAGACTGAATTAATATCATTCCAATATTTCTGTAAAACGTCTTTGTTTATTTATTTATTTGTTAAGTTTATAGTTTTTCAACCTTTGTCGTGGGTTTCATCCCTCGAGCTATCAAGAGACCACACACACACATGCACATGCACACGCACACACACACGCGCGCGCGGTGTCCTACACTGCCATGAAGAAATGAAACCAAATTTCGTTTAATTGTGAATGAAAATAAAGTTTATATATCATCATTATTATTGTTGTTATTATTGTTATTATTATTATAGAAAATAAAAACTCTTCGATATAAAAACATCTGAGCTCTGATTGGCTGATCCGGACCGGGACTCTGGTCTCTGAGGGTTCTGGTGGACTCTGCTGGACCCTGTTGGACTCTGGAGGTTCTGCTGGTTCCGTCCTCTGAGCGACAGGGAGGAAGGCTCCTCCTCCTCTTCCTCCTCTACCTCCTCCTCCTCTCAGGGCGGGGTTCGGACTTTTTGGGTCGGACTTCTCGGTTCTTTTCTCACTTTTTAACTCTGAAAGTTTTCTCTGCTTCGCAGTTTTTTTTGCCTCCGAACCGAACCGAACCTCTGCGGCATCATGTCTGGCGTCGCGTCCACCCTGGCCAAGAAACGGGCCATGGCCGCCGGGTTCGGAACCAATTCGAAGGCGATTCCGTACCTGAACCAGAACTTCGAGGCTCTGCGGGCTCAGTGCCGAGCCTCCGGACAGCTGTTCTCAGACCCGATGTTTCCCGCCGCGCCCGAATCTCTGGGCTTCAAAGAACTGGGCCGGAACTCCTCCAAGGTCCGGGGAGTCACCTGGAAAAGACCCACGGTAAGAACCGAGCCTAGACGGGGACCAGGAGGACCAGGAAGGATTTGACTGGGTCCTGGATCTGCTCAGATAAACCCAGGGTGGGTTCTGATGGGTTTATCTGAGCAGATCCAGGACCTGGACCCAATCCAAATCCAGATTCAGCAAGCATCTGGAAACTGGGACCAGGTGGACTGGATCGGATAAGTGTCCAGTTTGATCCAAGGAGTTCTGGCACAAATATCAGACAACAGAACCAGAACCAGTTCCCATCTGAGAAGAACATCAGGACCAGATTCAGAACATCTGAAATGAACCTGGTCCAAGAAAGAACCCCTGCAGGGCTCGTGGAGGCCGGCTGCTGATTGTGTCCCTCCGAGTTTCTATGGTAACTGATCCAGGTCCTGGTCCTGTGTCTGACCTCTCTCCTGTCCCTCTTCAGGAACTGGTCTCCAAACCAGAGTTCATCATAGGTGGAGCCACCAGGACCGACATCTGCCAGGGGGCTTTGGGTAAGAGTTTCCTCATGTCCACAGACTGATTGTCCCTGAACACACCTCAAACTGTCACTGAACACATTTTAGACTGCCCCTGAACGCACCTCAGACTATCTCTGAACACACCTAAGACTGTCCCTGAACGCATCACAGACTGTCCCTGAGTGCATCTGAGACTGCCCCTGAACGCATCTCAGACTGCTCCTGAACACATCTCAAACTGTCACTGAACACATTTTAGACTGCCCCTGAATGCACATGAGACTCTCCCTGAACACACCTCAGACTGTCCCTAAATACCTTTCAGACTGTCCCTGAATGCATCTGAGACTGCCCCTGAATGAACCTCAGACTGTGCCTGAACACATCTTAGACTGTCCCTGAATGTACCTCAGCCTGACCTTGAACACACATCAGACTGTCCTTGAATGAATCTCAGACTGCCCCTGAACACACCTCATTCTGTCCCTGAATGCATCTCAGACTGCCCCTGAACACACCTCATTCTGTCCCGGAATGCATCTCGGACTGCCCCTGAACACACCTCAGTCTGTCCCTGAACGCACTTCAGATTGCCCCTGAACGCACCTCAGATTGCCCATGAACGCACCTCAGATTGCCCCTGAAAGTACCTCAGACTGTCCCTGAACGCACCGCAGGAGATCTAGGATTTGATGAATCAGAACCATGGAACCAGCGGTTGATCCAGAACCAGATGTAATTAAAGGGCGCTGCCATGCTGCTCTCTGATTGGCAGGGAGGAGCTGCACAGGAAGAGGCCGGCAGTTGTTGTTGAGGGTGGGGGCGTGAGGGGGGCGGGGCAAGCTGTCAGCCAACTGCGACACACCCATACGCGCACACTCAGACGTGCACGGTGGTGGTGAGTCAGCTTCGTGCCGACAGAAACCGCAGATCAGAGTTTGTTTGTCTGCAGGAACTTCCAGCAGAAAGAGAGACCTCCTCCTTCACCTCCTCCTCCTCCTGCTCCTCCTCAGCTCGTTAAACTCACAACTGTTTCCAAACAGAACATTTCAGCTTCTGATAAAAACAGTTCATCATCTGACTGACTGCACAGCTTTTGGTTCTTTTCCTTCTTTTTCAGCTCCTACACACACACACCCACCCTCATGCTCACTGTGTGTGTGTGTGTGTGTGTGTGTTGGGGGGGGGGGGGGGGGTTGGCTGGTGGAAGAAAGCCCAGAGAGCTGCAGGTTTTAATGGTCAGAGTGTTTCAGAGCAGATGGTCCTTAGTTGTTTAAACAGAGGACATCTTGTTTTTTTACATTATGGGATGTCATGATGCATCCCCCCAGGCTGTTAGCTTTTTGTTCTGTAGCCCCTGTGTGTCCTATAGGGGGCAGCGATGAGTTCTGGTCTAACTTTGTGTTTCCTGTCTTCCAGGTGACTGCTGGTTGTTGGCTGCCATCGCCTCCCTGACCCTGAATGAGTACGTGATGGCCCGAGTTGTTCCCACAGACCAGGGCTTTGGGAGCGACTACGCAGGAATCTTTCACTTCCAGGTATCGGGTGTCTCACGTGTGGCCTCAGATGGACAACAAAACTTTATTTATACATTCACTGACCGGCTAAGAACCAAACAGAAACTCACACCGGGTCCAGAGACTCAAGGTTCAAGCTTCTTTATTGTCATTTGCATCACATGAGGTACATGAGGTGGAATGAAATTGTGTACTCAAGGTCCCAGTTACACCCCAAAATAGCAAAAATATAAAGTATAAAAAAGAAACAGTATACAAGGATCTCAGATACACACTAAACAATAATAATGTAATACAATAAGGTGTATTAAACAGCAGCCTGAACATGAGTCTGTTGTGAGCAGATGGGTATGAATATAGTAGCTTATGGGTAAGAAATCAGCATCATGGATAATCAGCAGCACAAATAAAGTCACATATCACCAATTAAAGTGGCATTACAGTGATTTTTCTGGTTTTATGTGATTCATGAGTCTTAACAGCCAACCACAGTGGGGCAAAAAGTGTGTGCTGGGTGAGTGGGGTCCTTCATGATGCAGGTGGCCCTCTTCCTGCATCTAGAGGTGTAGATATCTGTGATGGTGGGGAGGCTGACTCCAACAGACTTCTGTGCAGCCTTCACCACTCTCTGCAGAGCTTTTAATTTCTGCAGCTGTGCAGCCTCCATGCCACATGTTGATGCTGGAGCACAGGATGCTCTCCACTGCACACCTGTAGCAGGAGGTGAGGACTGAGCTTCCCAGTTCAGCTCGTCTCAGCCGCCTGAGGAAGTAGTCTCTCTGATGAGCTTTCTTGATCAGGCTGGTGGTGTTGTTGTCCCAGCTGAGGTTGTCATTCAGATGCATACCCAAATACTTGTAACTGGAGACCACTTCCACCACAGATCCTCCTATGGTGGTGGTGGTGGTGGTGGGGGTTGGTGTGTTTCAGAATAAGCTTTATTGTCATTGCACCGAGATACAATGAGTATGTGTAGGTACAGTCATCCGAAAGATGGACGGAGTGCACAAAGCTGCTGCTAATTAGCGTGGCCCTCTTATTCTTATTCAAAATAATATTTTTGCTTAGATGAGAAAAGGGAAGAGAACATGAAAGAAGGTATAAAAAAAGATCTCTCACACCATGTCCTAGACAAGGCACAATTTGAGGCATCAAAAAAAAACTACCACACAAAGCAACATAAATAGACATGATACATATTGCTCCTTCTGAAGTCCACAACCATCTCCTTTGTCTTCTTCACATTGATGAAGAGATTGTTCTTCATGCACCATCACTCCAGGTGTTCCACCTCCTCCCTGTAGCCCGACTTGTTGTTTGTGATGCATCCATCCTCTGCTGTATCTTCTGCAAACTTTGCAATGTGACAGCCTGGATGGGTAGGTGCGCAGTCATATGTGAGCAGAGTGAACAGGAGGGAGCTCAACACACAGCCCTGAGGGGAGCCAGTGCTGAGGCTTATGGTGGAGGAGGAGAAGTTGTAGATACTCACAGACTGCAGTCTGTTGGTTAAGAAATCCAGGACCCAGTTGCATAGGGAGGGGCATAGTCCTAGTGTGAGTAGTTTATCCATCAGGCTCTGGGGAATCATGGTGTTGAAGGCAGATATGAAGTCCACAAAGAGCATACAGATGTAGGACTCCTTCTGCTCCAGGTGGGTGAGAGCAGTGTGGACCACAGAGGAGATGGCGTCCTCTGTTGACTGATTCTTGCAGTATGTGTACTGATGAGGGTTCTTGTTGATGGTTGTTTTGATGTGGGTTATGACCTATCTTTCAAAGCATTTAGCGACTATCGAGTGTGTTGTATCGACTGTGTTGTCTCTGAATCTGTCCCTCTGTCCATCCGTCTCTCAGTCTGTCCCTCTGTCCATCCATCTCTCTGTCTTCAGTTCTGGCAATTCGGGGAGTGGGTAGACGTAGTGATTGATGACCGTCTGCCGGCGAAAGACGGGGAGCTGCTCTTTGTCCACTCTGCTGAGGGGAGAGAGTTCTGGAGCGCCCTGCTGGAGAAGGCCTACGCCAAGTAAGAACATCCAGAACCGTAGAGACACAGGAGGTTCAGACTCAGTCTCCTGTAGTAGGACACAAGAGTAAAAAAAAAAACCTTTTACACATTCACATTAATAACTAAAAAGTTCAATCTGGTCTTAGTGACTCAGTGTTCTCTCACTTCCTGTCTGTTGTCTGTTCCCTCACTTCCTGTCTGTTCTATCACTTCATGTCTGTTCTTTGATTTCCTTTTGTTCTGTCACTTCCTGTCTGTTGTCTGTTCTCTCACTTCCTGTCTGTTGTCTGTTCCCTCACTTCCTGTCTGTTCTATCACTTAATGTCTGTTCTTTGATTTCCTTTTTTTCCATCACTTCCTGTCTGTTTTCTCACTTCCTGTTTGTTCCGTCACTTCCAGTCTGTTCTCTCGCTTCCTGTTTGTTCTGTCACTTCCTGTCTGTTCTTTGACTTCTTTTGTTTTGTCACTTCCTGTCTGCAGAATGAATGGCTGCTACGAAGCTCTGTCTGGTGGTTCCACCACCGAGGGCTTCGAGGATTTCACCGGAGGCATTGCGGAGAACTATGACCTCCAGAATCCTCCGTCCAACCTCTTCCAGATCATCAAGAAGGCTCTGGAGGCTGGAGCGCTGCTGGGCTGCTCCATTGATGTGAGTCCATCCTTGGGTTCAGATCGGGTGAAGGTTCTGAGTCCTGCGGGTGGGGGGTAGGGGTGTCCAAACAAAGACATCTGGACTTCTCATCAAACTGAAAGGTGTCAAGACTGCAGGAACCTGAACTCACATGCAAATCCCTCTCCCTCCACTCCCTGGGAGGTCCACATGAGACTACAGCAAGAATCCTAACCACCCCAAGGAGGGAAGGAAGGGAGACTGATTTGCACGTGAGTTTAGCATCTCCTAAAGCTTGGAACTAGACACCACTGAGTTGGACCTGAAAGTCTTCAGATTCAAAGAAGTTTGGTGGTCTGTGTTTGGCCCCAGCAGGACTCAGTCTCAAGTGTTCTGGGCTCTTCGTGGTGGTGTGTTCATTTGGTTCTGTTGGATCGGCCCTTATGTGTTTCTGCTGCAGATCACCAGCGCTGCAGATTCTGAGGCTGTGACCCGTCAGAAGCTGGTGAAAGGCCACGCCTACTCGTTGACCGGCGCCGTGGAGGTAGGTTCACTTTGACACCAAGCAACTGCAGCAGGATGGCCCGGTAACTGTGTTCCTGTGTTCTGGGTCCAGGTGAACTACCGCGGCCGACAGGAGAAGCTGGTGAGGATGAGAAACCCCTGGGGCCAGGTGGAGTGGACCGGAGCCTGGAGTGACGGGTGACCAAACACTGCACAACACCAGGGCTTATGGTTCTGCTCCTGACAGATGGCTGGTCCGGTTCTGTCTGGAAGAAATAATCAGAAATTATGACACCTCTGATTGGTTCTAGTTCATCCAACTAGAACCATGCAGCCAGTCATGTGATCAAACTGGTCCGGTTCTGAAGCATCAACATCCCAGACATCAGCAGATCCAGAGTGGGTCTGTGGCAGTCCTGGTCCTGAGTGGGACTGTGGAGGTCCTGGTCTTTAGTGGGTTTGTGGAGGTCCTGGTCCTGAGTGGGTCTGTGGCAGTTCTGGTCCTAAGTGGATCTGTAGCAGTCCTGGTCTTGAGTGGGTCTGTGGCAGTCCTAGTTCTGAGTGGGTCTGTAGAGGTCCTGGTCCTAAGTGGGTCTGTGGTGGTCCTGAGTAGGTCTGTAGCTGTCCTGGTCCTAAGTGGATCTGTGGTGGTCCTGAGTAGGTCTGTAGCTGTCCTGGTCCTGAGTGAGTCTGTGGCAGTCCTGATCATCAGTGGGTTTGTGGTGGTCCTGGTTCTGAATGAGTCAGTGGCGGTCCTGGTCCATGACTCTTGTTCTTGTCTTCCTGCAGGTCGTCTGAGTGGAGCTATGTCCAAGGAGACTGTCCTCTCGCCAAAGCTGAGGACGGAGAGTTCTGGTAGGTTCCAAGGCTCAGCAGAACCCAGGAAGTGGTGTGAAAGTGGACTAAGAATCGGTTCTCGTCCCTGCAGGATGTCCTTCAACGAGTTTGTGCGCAACTACTCCCGGATCGAGGTGTGCACCCTGACCCCCGACACTATCAACGACGACTCCGTTAAACACTGGAGCGTCAGCAAGTTCGACGGAACCTGGAGGAGGGGCTCCACGGCTGGAGGGTGCCGGAACCACCCCTGTCAGTACCAACACTGGCCCAGTTCTGTTGATTGTTCTGCAAAATAAGAGATAATTTAGTTTTGAAGATGTGAGGACACTGAACTGGACCTGGTCTGGACCTGAACTGTGGTTCTGTTGTCAGCACTTGGCCCAATCCAGAGGTTCTAACAGAACCAGTGTTTGTGTGCAGACACGTTCTGGACCAACCCTCAGTTCGCCATCAAGCTGGACGAGGAGGATGATGACCCAGATGACGGGGAGGTGGGCTGCAGCATCGTGGTGGGTCTGATCCAGAAGAACCGAAGGAGACTGCGTAAAGACGGCGAGGACATGCACACCATCGGCTTCGCCATCTACGAGGTCTGAAGGGTACTGAGCGAGTCCGACGAGTCCAGCACGAGTCCAACATTTAACCTTTTGTTCTGTTTTATTTCAGCTTCCACCGCAGGTGAGTCCTGAAGTTCCAGGTGAAGCTCCGCCCACCAAGGAGTTCCTCACAGGGAGGGGGAACTGTGGTCAGAACAGCCTTCAAAATAAGAGTGTTTAAGAGTTTATTTTTGCTGCACTACACCTTTAAGGCCTCTTCACAACAAAAGCATGAACAGCTCTGAAACTGACACAACACTTTTATTCTGAAGTTCAGACAGTCCTTTGTGATGCACCGGGCTGAACTTTGACCCCCGGGCTGAGCTGAGCTCTAAGGGTTCCACGCCACCTGCTTCGGATGTTATCAGCCATTAAATGGCCGTTATTAGTTGTTATCATCTCCACATGTAGCGGTCAGACTGCCCCTCCTGTACCTCGTAGTGGGTTTACAGGTACGTTGTTAGCGCTGTTAGCGATGATAGCGATGATAATAGGCTCTGTTTTCATAATAGCTTCACGTGGTTAGGTTTAGAGTAAAGGGTCTGGCGGTTAGGTTTAGGGTCTTTGTTAGATTTGGGCACAAAGGTAAGGGGGTTAAGTTTAGGGTTGGTCCTCTGGGTCAAGTGTAAGCTTACGTTTAGGAAAAGGGTAACATAAGCTGGAAAAAACAAAAAAGACACTTCCTGGTTTAGTCCCGTGTGACGCTTCCTATTATCAGCAATAATAATAACGTACCTTGAAACCTGCTAGGAGGTAAGTGGGACAGTTTGACTGCTACATATGGGGATGATAACTAATAATGGCCATTTAATGGACTGATAACATCCGAAGCCGCTCTCCACGCCTCGCATTAGAATGTAAGAAAGAGATTTTAATGTTGATGACTCAGACCACTCCTAAGGGTGTGACCTAACTACTGGTGGGTGGAGCCTAATTATACCATCCATCCATCCATTTTCTTTACCCGCTTGTTCCATTTTGGGTCACGGGGGTCGCCGGTGCCCATGTCCAGCAATCACTGTGCGAGGGGCGGGGTACACCCTGGACGGGTCGCAAGTCCATCACAGGGCCACATAGAGACAAACGAGACAAACAACCATTCACTCTCTCACTCACACCTGTGGACAATTTAGAGTAGCCAATCAGTCTAACATGCATGTTTTTGGTCTGTGGGAGGAAACCGGAGTACCCGAAGAAAACCCACGCATGCACGGAGAGAACATGCAAACTCCACCCAGAAAGGCCCCTGGACCGGGTAATTATACCATAGGAAGGCGAAATAGCCATACTAGTTCAGCAGTAAGTAGAAAAAATGCAGAAGTGTTTTCATTCCCAACAGGAAACTAAGAGTTAAATAAAATAATTGAAAAAAATTAAGTGATGGACTACACGTCAACAAATTATTTATGGCCTCCTGTAAATGACAGACATTTAAATGATGTCCCTCCACCAAATAAATCATGCCTGCTCAGATTGGTTCATTCCAGTGGCCTGATCAGGCCCCGCCCACTTGTCAGCTTTATTAAAGATGAGTCATTCCATATTTGAGTTAAACAAAACCTGAAAAATCAAAAAAACCTGAACCGTGTCAGGTGTCCAGTCCCAGAACAGTTCCAGAACAGGTCCCAGGTTGGTTTTGAAGGCCCATCCAGTCCATACGCCTTTACATTTTAATTCCAGATAAAATATTAATTAAATTTTATTTAAATGTAATTAGTGAAATAAAGGGCAGCACGGTGGCGCAACTGGTAGAGCTGCTGCCTCTCAGCGAGCAGGTCCTTGGTTCAAACCCCGGTCCAGGGGCCTTTCTGGGTGGAGTTTGCATGTTCTCTCCGTGCATGCGTGGGTTTTCTCCGGGTACTCCGGTTTCCTCCCACAGACCAAAAACATGCATGTTAGGCTGATTGGTAACTCTAAATTGTCCCTAGGTGTGAGTGAGAGAGTGAATGGTTGTTTGTCTCGTTTGTCTCTATGTGGCCCTGTGATGGACTTGCGACCCATCCAGGGTGTACCCCGCCCCTCGCACAGTGATTGCTGGACATGGGCACCAGCGACCCCCGTGACCCAAAATGGAATAAACGGGTAAAGATAATGGATGGATGGATGGATAGTGAAATAAAATCTTTACAAATGCAGATTATTTAAGTAGGCGAGGTCAGCGGTTCTCCGGGGTTCCCAAGAGATTTCAGTTCTTTTTGTTCTCTGTTCTTTCTCAGAACAGTAAGAACTGTTCTTATCTGCTGTTTGCCTGCAGTTCCACGGGCAGAGGGAGGTCCACCTGGATAAAAACTTCTTCCTGACCCACGGTCAGAAAGCCCGATCCGAAACCTTCATCAACCTGCGTGAGGTCAGCACCCGCTTCAAGCTGCCGCCAGGAGAGTACCTGATCGTCCCATCCACGTTCGATCCACACCTGAATGGGGATTTCTGCATCAGATTGTTCTCTGAGAAGCAGACGGAAACACTGTAAGAAACCAGGGCTGTTGGTTGGGTGGGAGAACCTCCTCTGTCCCTGATCCTGGGAGAGTGAGAAATACAGCGTTGTCTCTGGCTTCTTAGAGGTTTTTGAAAGGGTTCTTTCAGACCAGAACTGAGTTTCTGTTCTTTGAGAGGTCCAGAGAAGGGTCAGGGTCATTGGGTCAGGGGTTGTATTTAGGAACTCATTTACATGTAAAGCACTGCTGCAAGACACAAATTCAAAACCTTCAGTAATTCTTCTGATGTTGTTTTGTCAGACCCTGTGACGACCCAGTTAATGCTGAGCTCGATGAGGTGAGTGATGCTCCGCCCACAGGTATGTGTTAACAGGTTCCAGCTAACTATTAGCAACAGACAGAAATTAGCAGGTTACAGCAGGCTGGAGCAGAAGGAGGACAATGGCAGCCTGTTACTGTTAAAGGGAAATTCTTTGAAAGCTGAACCTTTAAAACCATAAGATCAAACTGTTTTAAGAATCAAAATTTCCAGAACAACAAACCATGCCAAATGATCTTGCATAGCTGGCAACTTCTCCACCCTTGGTCATCCTGTCCTGTGGATACAGAATATAACCTAGCAAATATAAATCTGCACAAGACCTGCACAGCCATGTTTCTGAGTGAATAACAAATTCTGGATTAGAACTTTCGACCCAGACTCAGTTGGTCCATCTTAGGTAACAGGCTTCTGGCATTAATATGTAAGAATCATATACTATTTCGAATGCAGAAATCATCATAGGGCAAGTCACTAGTCACCAATGAAGTATTGAGAAGAATTATTGCACTGGTTAGGTCTAGGTGGTCTAGGTGAGCAAGAACTCCCAGAAGCTGATGGGCCTGGGTCAACATGAACGTTCCCAGAAATGACCAAAAGCAACAAAATGAGAAAACGACTTAGAATGAAGGAGTTTCTAAAATCCAGGTTTCCTAAAAACAATATTTTATGTAAATATAGCAGCAAGGTCGCTCTAAAAACACAATTCTTAACACTGCTGTGCAAAATAAAACAATAAGTTAGGATCGAGTTGGACTCCTATGGCCTGGCTGATAAAACAGTTCAAGTCCCTTTGTACAGCCTGTTTCGAAGGCAGACAATATCAGTTGCTTATGGGAGACATTGCAAGACCAGTTGGTATTAAAAACAAAGCAGGAACTGATTAATAGTATAAAACAAATGAAGAGAACACTATAATAATTAGAATCCTAGTAATCATAGATAACCCACAAGACTAAACGTCTAAACAATGTCAATGCCAGGATGGAGACAACCAAGTTGGAATAAGATTGAAGATTAGCAGCTGGGCTAAAAGCTGGAGGGTACAGTTAATACCTGTTGGTTAGCAGGCTGAAAGCTGCCAAACGGGGCCAATGGCCAGAGGTAACCTAGCAGAAATGCAGTCTTACAAAGGTCCAGGTTGTAACAGATTGGCTAGGCTGGAACTAGCAGAGGTCCAGACTGTAGCAAATGGAAGGTCAGTCAGGAGGAGTCAACAGATCCAGGTTGTAGCTGGTGGAAGGTCAGACCAAAGTAAGCAGAGATCCAGGTTATGGTGGACTCGGTTTCTTCCTTGTTTTTATGATAAATAAGTCTGTGAGAAGAATTAGCTTGATGGCTAACTTCCTTAACATCGCCGTTGTCGTTTTCAATATCACGTGCCTGTGTATGTGCAGCATGTTGGAGTAGCAATGTCCCACTTGTTGCTCGAGTTTCACTACTTCGTGTTCTGTTTTTCCATCAGTCGATGAACAATCAAAGAAACACAGTTTGCTCACTAACAGCACAGTCTTTAGATTTAACACCCTCCGTACTTATCCTGAGCATCCCGTTCTGAGTTTTAGAGTCCAGGAGAAGTCCGCCTCCAGCTTAACGGTCACAGCTTCTTGTTTACGTTTATCCTTCTTCCAAATAAATGAGTACTGAGGTTAAAAAATAAACGATTGACCTTGTAGTCATGTCATCAGATTTGTGGCTGTTTGTTTTTGGACACTCGCGTCCAGAGAGGAGGTGAGCTGTCAATTGGTCACCACCTGGTAGACAGCTCTAACCACTGTTCCAAAGCTAAACTGTTTGTTGTGTGTCACATAACTTTCTGACGCTGCTGCACTCTCTGGTCCAGGATCAGGTGTCGGACAGTGAGGTGGATTCTGGATTCAGGAACATGTTCAGTAAACTTGCCGGGGCGGTAAGTTTGTTTCTGACTCCCGATGACTTAATTAGAACTGTTTTACTTCCTGTTCCCTCTGTGACAGATTCACCTGTGACACATCTGTCTAATGAACAACCTTTACCTGAACACAACCAGGAAGGCTGAACAGGCAGGAAGTATCTTTACTGGCTGCTGATTGGCTGCCCTCTGTTTCAGGACATGGAAATCTCTGCAAACGAACTGAAGACCATCATGAACAAGATCGTTTCCAAACGTGAGCTAAACCTTCGGCATGTCACCAGCCTCATCAGCTGCTGGTTTCACTTCCTGTCTTGCTTTGACTTCTGGTCTTGGTGCTTTGACTTCCTGCCTTGTTGCTTTGACTTCCTGCCTTGTTGCTTTGACTTCCGGCCTTGTTGCTTTGACTTCCGGCCTTGTTGCTTTGACTTCTTGCCTTGTTGCTTTGACTTCCTGCCTTGTTGCTTTGACTTCCTGTCTTGTTGCTTTGACTTCCTGTCTTGTTCTTGTTTTTTTTTTAGGAACTGACATTAAAACAGATGGATTCAGCATGGAGACCTGCAGGGTCATGGTGAACCTGATGGATGTATCCTTTAACCTTCTCCTTAATAATACAGCTGATGGGCTTCTGCTGATTGATTGATTGATTGATTGATTGATTGATTGATCAGCTGAATAACCGATCAGCTGATTAACCAGCTGACTGACTGATCAGCTGCTTGATCAGTTGTCCTTCCTGTTTGAAGACTTGGGTGATCTTTAACGTTCAGCAGGACAGCGGTAACGGGAAGCTTGGCATTGGAGAGTTTGCCACTCTGTGGAAGAAGGTGCAGAAGTACCTGGTGAGCGGTGACCTTTGACACTAGAAGCCTCATGTTGATACATCTGCTTTGTGTGGAGCTCTGAGTGGATGTTTTCTGTGGTGCAGTCCATCTATAAGAAGAACGACTTGGATAATTCGGGGACAATGAGCACTCCGGAGATGAGGGTGGCCTTCAAAGATGCAGGTGCGTTTGTTTTGAGGTGCAGGCAAGCTGGATTTACCATTTATCCAGAGCCTGTGCTGCTGAGTGGTCATGTGACCAGCTGCTTTTAATAATCTCTTGCTTTAATGTGGCTTGGTTCTTAACTGTGATCATCACATGGCTTAGTTCCAGCCCTCAGGGCTCCTCACACATCTTCTTCTGTGGTTCTTCACACAATTCTTCCAGTTTGTGTGCGTTCATAGTTCTGGTGCTCAGGTCAGTAAAACCTGAGCCAAGTATGAACATCAACAAGTTTCTCTGTCCTGTTCTGAAGGTTCTCACTGAGGAATATCCAGGAGGTTTCAGACTGATCTGGGGCCTGTTTTAGTTTCAGTTGATTTTCTTCCGCAGTCTGGGTCAGAAGTTAGGATTACTTAATTCAGAACCAGATTAATCTAGGATTCTGGATTAGGCAGTCTGTCAAACAGTCTCCTGGTATTTGTGGAACCAGGAAACCCAGCTGAGTTCTGTTTGTTCTGATGGTGAGTCACGGTTCTGACAGTTCTGTCCCATTGACTCATCACTGAAACCTCCAGAATACAGGAAGTGGTTACGTGTGCGTCAAAACAAATTCATCTCTACTCCATGGTGTGTGTGTGGGTGTGTGTGTGTGTGAGCTGTCTAACCCTGTTCTTGGTGTGTCTCTCTGCTGCTACAGTGATCTGATGCAGACGGTATGTGAGCTACTTTCTTTCTTTCAACTCATTCAGTTAAAATAAAAACATTTTTTATTTATTTTTCCTCTGTAAAACAGAATAAAGTTCTACATGAGATCTTCTCTCAGTCATTCAGTTCCTTTATAGCCCAGTAAATCCTACAAAACCTTCAGAATTTTTACCTTTAAAACCTGAATATTCCAACTAAAACTTGCTGGTTTTTACTCTTTGGTTGGTTATTTAATTGTCCACTCAATCCCTTTATCAGATGTTTGGATTAGAGTCCATTTTTCTTTGGTGTTTGTGTGTTAGCATACTGTTAGCTCTGGTAGCCTCCATATTGTGACCACTGCTGTCGTCTCTCTGCAGGTTTTACCCTCAACAACAACATCTACCAGCTGCTGGTGGCTCGCTACGCCGACCCTGACATGACGCTCGACTTCGACAACTTTGTGGCCTGTCTGATGAGACTGGAGATGATGTTCAGTGAGTGTAACAAACTTTGCTAAAGTTAGCTGCTAATTATGCTGACAGATGCAGTTATCCTTGGTTGCTAAAGATGCTAACAGATATGGCTAACAAGAGTTGCAAATGATGCTAACAGACGGTTAACATTAGCTGCAATGCTAATAGACATGCTAACATTAGCAGCTAACATTAGCTGCAAATGATGCTAACGGGCGCAGTTAACATTAGTTGCTAATGATGCTAACAGACATGGCTAACATTAGCTGCAAATTATGCTAATCGGTGAAGTTAACATTTGATGCTAACAGAGACAAATGACATTAGTGGCTAATAATGCTAACAGTGGTCCTAATGATGCCATGACTAACGTTAGCTGCTAATGATGCTAACAGACATGGCTAACAATAGTTGTGACTGAAAGTTCCATCCTTTTCTTAAACACCAACAATTGTGTATCATGTGTGTAGTATGTATTATGTATTGTGTCAACTATAAACCTCAAAACTACAAGAACACATTTTTAGTGAAGTTCTATTTGGGACAAAAAATAAAACTAATCTGTTCCTCAGAAGGTTTTAAAGTCCTGTTCACAACCGGTTCCACTAAGTCATTGTTTATTAAACATAAACTGGTTCCAGACTCTACAGGCCTCAGTCTGCAGGTCAAAGATCATGCTCTCTCCTCCTACAGTCGTACAGAGAACCACTGAGGGTTCTGCTGCTAGAGGAGGTTCTGCTGGGTTCAGGGGTTTGGAACCACTTTCTGATTACAGTAATAATGACTGGGTGTGATTTGCTGTGTTGTCCTGCTGAGGACCAGAGGAGTTCTGATCTAACAGAAGGTACCTGGACTGGGTCGGTCTGGTCTACAGTTTGTGTCAGAGGTGTAGAACCTGTTTTTAAAGATTTTAACAGACCCACAACTCATGTGTGATCCACCTTCTCCCTCAGGAATCTTTAAGAAACTGGACTCCCACAACACTGGCTTCATTGAGTTTGACTTCAACCAGGTGAGTCCAGAACCAGTCCAAGTGAGTCAGCAGTCTGGTTTAAAATCTGATCTTCTGTATTTCTGTTTTCCTGCAGTGGTTAAACTTCTCCATGATCTGAGGTGGAGCCTCCATCACTCTGCAGCTGTCTATCATCCTGTTTACAGTTGGCTCTTCCTGACACAGCTTCACTTTATTATCTTTAACCCCGCCCACAATTGACTGTCACATAAAGCCAAATAAACTTAAGTCCACCAAACCTCAGCTCACTGCATCTGTCATGGTGTCCAATGTCTGTCTTAGCTTTGAGTTTAGCTTGTCTGCAAGAGCTTTACAGTCTGTGGAACTGAAGATCTGCACATATGTTCCTGCAGGACCAGATCACATGGGACCACGGTGTCAGTGCAGAAAGGTGTGTTTACCTGACGGTTACCAACCTGCAGTCTATAGACCTGTACTGGTCATACGATCAGGTCTGAGACAAAACTGCATCTCTGAATTTGAACCGTTTTTGCTTCCGAGGGGGTCCACAGTCTGTGAACCAGGAACAAACTATCTCTTGTCCAGCCCTGAATAAGAACTCCTAAACCACCAGGTTCTGTTTAGATAATAAACACACCTGCTTCTGTTTAGGTCATAAACACACCTGGTTCTAAATGTCCTGACGCATGTTCAATAATGCAGGTATGTCTAATGAGGTTGAGTCACGTCCTCTGGACTGGAATCTGATCATTTATTACTCTGATGGTCCTCCATTTTTCATGTGAAAAGCTAGTTCTGGCTGTCAGCATCAAACTGGTTGATCCATTATGAGAAGGTGCTGCTTATAAGACCGAGTTTGATGCTGCTCCTCAAACTGAAGAAGTCTTTTGAATTAAAGACAAAACATTTTCAACAAGAAGAAATTCGTCTAGAGGACCTGACTCAAGCTTGTCAGACAGCTGGTTCTATTTGTGTAATAAACACACCTGGTTGTGTTTTAGATGATAAACGCACCTGGTTGTGTTTAGATAATAAACACACCTGGT